AGAAAAGTCTGGCAAGATGCCCAAAAAAATTGCATGAGAAATCGTCTGAGCTTGGGCTTGAGAAAAGCCTGGCAAGATGCCCAAAGAAATTGCACGAGGAATTGTTTGAGCTTGGGATTGAAAAAAGCCTGGCAGAATGTCCAGAGGAATTGTATGAGAAATTGTCTGAGTTTTGGGCCAAAGAAAAGATTGGCAGAATGACCAGAGGAATTGTATGAGAAATTGTTTGAGACAGGCTTGAGAAATCTGGCAAAGCAGCATGAGAGATTGCATGAAATAGCCTAAGAATGGGTCTGAAAGGCCTAACAAAATGACCAATTGTTGAGAATAAGTATGGGAAGCTTGATAAGTGATCAAAAGAATTGAATGGGATTGAATACGGAAAAAAAAACCCAGCAAAACTGCGAAAGGAATGCATGAGAGCGAGTCAGGAAAGCACCGGGACAAACTGGGTATGGGACCTGAGAGAGAAACAAACCGGCACTTGAAAGGCAATTGGATCACGGACAGACATAAGGCCAAAGAAAAAGGGGGGCCATAGGAGGGACATAAGGGTTGGACTATGTCAGGGCAAGGGAAAGAGTGGCAGGGCTCATGGGCTGTATGGGCCGAAGAGCAGATTACCTGATGCGCTGCGAGTAGCAGGGCTCGTGGGCTGCACGGGCCAAAGAGCAAATTATCTGATGCGCTGTGAGTGGCAAGAAACATGGACTGCACGGGCCGAAAAGCAGATTATTTTATGCATTAAGGGTGGTCAAAGTTTGAGGGAAGAAACATGGACTGCTTGGGCCGAAAAACAGATTATTTTATCCATTGAGGGTGGTCAAAGCTTGACGGAAGAAACACGGACTGCATAGAAAGGTATGAGAAAAGACCAAGAAGTACCTTGACATATTAACTACCTATCACGTCCCGTCCCTCCCCTGCCTATCCCACTAATCCACGCTCTCCCCTATTAATTGAGAACTGGTGTGCGATGAGGACATCGAAAATAAGTGGGGGGAATGTGTCGGGACCTGTGGTTCCCGAAGCAAGTCCCGACCCTTGAGACATGATACATGGCTGAGATGTGCACGACAGAGGAATCCGGAGCAAGGTGACAAGAGAAAAAGAGTGAAGGCAGGATTGGCGACACCAAGGACCCAAGGGGAGCGCCCGAGGCCGTTGGAGCCATAGGGCCAGAAATAGACCAACAGAGTAACATGCTGCAAAGGGCTGCAAGAAAATTGGTGAAGGCGGCCCTCCTTCTCGAAGAAGGAAGACCGCCGAGAAAGGAACACCCTGAGGTCGAGTGCTGGAGGTAGAAGGGGCCCAAGGGCATCGAGGAAAATAGTGTCGCGACGTCGGCACATGAGAGCGTAGCATGCGGCCAAGGAGGCCATTTGAATTCGGCGTGAGAAGAGCCTAAGGGCCATGGATGAAGCTAGGGGATGCAAAGAGAAGACTCATAGGTGTCACCCGAGCAAGCGGCGTAAGCTGGGTGGCGTATTTTTTCAATGAAGATTATTTCATTTCCCTTTCAGAGTGACTGAACACTCGGATCAAGACTCTCTCCAGGTTAAGATCTGTACAGGAGAGAGACAGAGATATATATATATATATATATATATATATATATATATATATAGAGAGAGAGAGAGAGAGAGAGAGAGAGAGAGAGAGAGAGAGAGAGAGAGAGAGAGAGGGTAAGAGAAAGGAGGGGTCAGCAAATAGTGAACTGCGGCAAATGTTATGAGTGAAAGCGAGTGAGAGTGGGGAAGGGCGAAAGCAACAGGTTAGGGCGTCAACCTGTGCGTAGAAAACCAAGATTGGATTTCAATCCACTACACATAAGGACACGACCCAGCAGAATGAAATTTTGATAAATTCACTTGGGAATACATTGAATTGTTTGCTGAGCCGTTGGATCGAAGAGTGAGGAGCTATTCTCATGGTGGAATAGCAGGTTGAGTAGTTGGCAAACTTATATTAAAAAGGACAGGGGAAATACAAATATGCATGTGTCGGTAGAAGTATAAACAACCGTCCCTCCAGATGTGTTTTCACGAACTACGAAGCTGGAAATCACCACACCACAATTGATGCCATCTACACAGCTAATTAGTTCACAGGCCCTTTTGAATCGAACCTGTGCGCCGGCGGATTGAACGCAGGGACGTCTGCTGATTTATCCAGTACGGTTTGAGGATCAGAATTTGCAGTGTGATGCAGGGCCTTGAGCAGAGGTAACAAGAGCATCTATGAAAATCTCAGTCACAGAGACGCAGTTCTTGTTCAAGGATTTTTTTTTTTTTTTTTTTTAATGTTGAAATTTTGAATGTCTTGCTCTTGAACTAAGATCTCGTAGAGATGACCGGGAGGGAGATTTCAGGCCAGATCCGAGATCCACACATTTGAAGGAATTATTGTTTTCTTTTATTTATTTTTTATTTAGGATTTCTCCCATTCTGATCAACTGTGAGACCCTACTTGAAGACCACTCACGAAAGGTGCATAACAGGCAGAACCAACTACATCACCCTGCCAGGTGCTGAGGACCTCGAAAGCGGGTGCAGCGGGTGACAGACGTTATCCCTGGCTTCGGCGAGCGGCAGGTGATTCCCTCCCCGGGTTTTCTCACACCGTGTCACCAAACTTGCATGCCAACAAATGAGGAGGAACACTTCGCTTTTCCTGGAGATATAGCGGCCTGCTTGCCTCTTGGGCAGTGACTTCCTAGGCCACATGGCCTCCAAACAACCGGTACCTCCCTTTTGGAGGGAAACATCATTGCAGACTCTGCTATTGCCTGTACAGGCCTTAGACTCAGACTGGTTGGACTGGTACCCGTCTAGACCTAGCCTATAACTACTGGGCCTCTAACAATGCCAACTTTTATCTTCTTCTGCTCGTCATGGAGTACCCGGCACATACCTCTACTTGGCGTGGAACCGGCCTACTTGAGTGTTTTCCCTGCTTGAGTGTTTTCCCCGCTGCTCTAAGTGTCTTGGGCCTCTTTCCCTGCCACTTGAGTGTTTTCCCCGCTGCAACCCTCAATGTCACGGCCACAGGTAAGTACCGACCCTTTGGGCCTCCCGTGCGGACGGGTGCCCTTGCGGGTCACACACACACTCAATCGAGAAACACTCAGACAGGCATGCAGACCAGCAAGCACACACACACACAGACTTAAAAAACTCAGGAACAAGTGGGAAACTCGGCAAGGCATACATTCCATTAGCAGAACTCAGAAGTCAGATGTGTGTCTCAGGCGGTGTTTGGCAGGTCCTTATATTTTTGGCGGTGTACAGAGTGTGGTTCAAGCATCATATTGATCCTCAAGAAGACCGGTGGTTCACAAGTGAAGAATCAAAAAAGACTGCTCCGCAGGTTATCTCAGGATATGAGAGAAGGTCAAAAGGAAAACAGTCTGCTGGTCGAAGACTTCTCAGATTACTATCGAAGTAAAGGAGGAGGGAGTGCGAGGATTTGTGTCCTGGCATGCCCGTAAGGGCCCCCTACAGCAAGTATGAGCCCGCCCTAAGTGAAGGTGGGCCCCCGAATCTCAATGAGGCCTCTGTCAAGTTTGCAAAGCCTTGGTGGGCGCACGACAGTTGCCACGCACCAGTTGGTTACATCCACCTTGCTCGTAAAATTCAGAAACATTTGTGAGCCTTCGAGGGTCTTCTCACAACACAGGGGAATCAGGGTACACCTCACTTTTACGCTCGGGTGGTTGGGCTGGCCTAACCAATTCGGGCCCAGGCCACCATCTGAATGGGCCTGGGCAGACACTTTGGCCCAAGCTGAAGCTACTCGGCACACGATGGGCCAGGCTGAGCAGCCTATGGGTCAGGCCACTTCGCATATAGCAAAGTGCCTTGCCGGGGCAGGGGAATTCAGGCACTTGTGAGTGCATACGGCACCGCTGCTGGAGTGATAGCTGGCGCCTGCTTGCTAGCTGCGCTGGTGCCTGGGCGCACGCGGGCGTGGGGAGAAGAAAGGGTGCTTCAAGGAGGCAGCGCTATAGCTCAGCCCTTCATAGCCGGGCTTGAGTTTGGATTGTCAGCGGGGATTGGCGGCGGTCCTTGGAAGGAGTTCAGACGTGGGAGAGAAGACGAGGGGGAGCATGGTGAGGGCGAGAGAGGAGGTGATGTGAGAGCACGTACCTGTTCCTGGCGGAGGTCTACATGCTCGACATCTGCATGTACTTTGGTTGTTGCTGCTGACGTCAACTGGTTGCATGGCATTGTCATTCGTAGGCTAGGGTAGTAGGCCCAGTGGCTCTAGGATCGTAGTTTGGGGGCTGAGCGCAATTTGGAGAGAGAGCTCCGAGTAATTTGTTGGTGGTTGCGAGAGTTCGCTTTCATTGACAATTGAGTTCGCTGCTTTGGTTCTCCTTCGGTGTGATATCAGTGCATTTCTGCTTTCTGGACAGCTTTCGACTATCCAGCTTTCAATGTGATTTTGCAATCTGGAATTTTGTCCTTTCGCTATTGCTCATTTTCCTTGCAATATTATTATTAAAAAAAAAAACTATTCCCCGCCCAATTCAAACGAGTGCCCCGCCACATGCAGCAATTCCCATTTTTTGTAGAAAAAAAACATTGGGTCAACAGTCGCCTTTCCTTCTTTTCTTTTCTTTTCTTTTCTTTTCTTTGCGTCATAAATGTTTGAAGTCTCCTTTTCATTCCCCTTTTGTGAAAAAACAACACGTCATCAATATTATTAAGATAAGATTCATGAAACGTTCGCCATGTCATTATTTTTTTTAATTAATATATTTAAAATGTCTCCTCTGCATTGCTTTCCTTTCTTTTTCCACATGGTGGTTGGTTTACTTGTCCCGCAATCATCCTTCCCGATCAACCGTACCTTCCCATGGTCGTACGGTCGTCCAGTCCTCGTGGGAATGAACCACAATCATCATTTCTACATCATGACGGTCGTGCGCCTGGTTGCGGGTTGTGGTCGTGTGTGGGCGGATATGGTCGTGATCGTGGTCTTTTTTGTGGAAACAGGTGACATTGCCAAGAGACGGAATGGCACAAGATTGCGGCTGTTCTCATCAGAAGAGACGAATCTACGGCGTCCCAACGCATTTATCTTGCTCAGGTAAACCTTTTTTGTTGCTCCCCCCTCCCCCCCGCCTCCCCCCACCCCACTCAGGTACACCGTTGTTAACATCTACTCCAATGTGTGTGGGGGGGGCAGGTGTCTGTAGTCATATGGTTGGAACAGGTGACTGTTGTTGTTCTTTTTTTTGTTTGTGAAAGTATCTTCTACACTTTACGTTTTAATTGAAGTAATGATTTTGGCCATCGTAGGAAAGGTTAGGATTCAAAAGCCGACTCAACTCACGAAAAACAGCAGGGTACAACGTAGTAGTCTCACATTAACTAGGAGGTTCTTGACTCGTGAGCCAGATTAGGATTCAAAAGCTGACTCGATTCAATTCACGAAGAACAGTAGGGTGCACAATGTAGTCTCACAAACTGCATGCAATATCACACATGTCATGGAAAAAAATTCGACGGCCGGCGACGTTACCACATTAAGTGAAGCAGGTTTTTTCGTTTTCTATTTTTTTAACTTTCTGAAATCAGACTAGTTTTCTCGCTTACTTCGCATGCATGCAAACAGGTGGCAATCAACACTGGCGCCAGGCGCCCACACAAAGCTCAGAGATATTAAGGCCGAGAACACAGTTCAGATGCAAACTCGCTTCAAATTGGCTATGGTACCTGAGCGCCTACACATCACCCGTCCAACACTGTATTCACAACAACTGTTCGCACGCTCACACTCTGGACCTCCTTGGATGTCCCACGCACTCTCACTCTATACCGCACACACACACACACTCGCGACAGGTTATCTCTAACCTATGGCGGCTATGGCCGCCTTCTACCACCTAGCAGCTAGTGGCGATGGCAGCTCCTTCTTCCCCACAGCCCACTTTGACTTCGGGCATCTGCAGACCACCTCGCACAAGACGCTCGGGCAGCGCTTCCGCATGGCGCAAAGCAGAATGAATGAATGGCTGGATGCTGCCTCTTGATTTATACTTCTGTTGGTCGCTGGTCTGCCCTTTTCCACCGGGCCAATGGTGCACACAGTCCCACATGGTACTTGCTGATTAGACTAAGTGCGACTCGGACTGGGTACAGCTGACTAAGCAAAGTTGGACTTCCTACTTGCACACTTGCCTCTGGCCTAACGTGTGAAACTCTCGAAAGGCCACTTCCGGACCTTCAGGGAGTCTGTGGACTGCTTTTCGGAACTGTAGCAGCTATGACCTTGACCTTTCAGAATTGCAATAACTATGACCCCTACCCAGCTATGACCCCTACTCGACAGAACTACGGTTCGAGACCCGACAACTACACAGACCTATGACAGACAACAGTCGGCTACCAGGACACAGGTCGCGGGTTCAAACACACAGGGTCGACTTGATACTATACACGGTGGGGTAAGGTCGAAGGATCGAGCCCTGGGATCTGCATCTGCTACTACAAAGGTGAAAACCGTTTCACTCCCACCGGCCTAAATTTGAGGTCTTCCGGGAATACTTAGTCCAAGGCTGGACCTTTACCTTTCTTATCCCTCTTATAAGCTTGAACTACATCGGGAGTGGTCTCAAGAAGCTCTGTTCGTGTGAACCAGCGGTTGTCTTCTGGTTCTTGAAAAGAGAATCTGACTTTATACTGTTTCTGTGGACGACCTCTACCTCCTGTTCTGAACACATCTTCACCTACTATGTGGTCAATGCCGTACCTTCCATCCATGTCTGGAGGGATCATGGATCTTTGTGATGGAAACTGTCGACTTGTGGTACAGGGCAACAACTTTGACGCATGAAAACCTGGGTAGGTGTGGAGGCGTGCTGGAATCTCGATTGTGTAGGACGGTCCATCCTCTCCACCCTTGACTTCTAAGACTGGCCACGGTCCTCTATATGCAGGCAACAGCTTCTGCGAGATGTTCTCCTCGGGAGCAAACAGTTATGACTTGACCCAGGCTAAGCTGCCTACTTGGAACTGTGCTGGGCGACAACGTTTGTTGGCTTGTTCTATCATCTTGTGCTGGGCTTTCTTGAGGTTCTCTACGACGGTAGCTATCTCTTTCTCGTGTTGTATCGCGAACTCCCTTGTACCGGATGGTAGCCTCTGAATCTGATCCCGATTCAAACCCTCAAACGGTCTGGGACGTCTAGAGGACTTATGTAACTCGTTGGGAGTGCGACAGGTTGCTAAGTGCCTGCTGTTGTTATATGCGCTGGCTACCTTTGGGAGCATCTCATCCCAGTTGACTTGATCGGGGCTAATGTACATCCTAAGAACTTGTTGCAGGATCTTGTTCATCTGTTCAGTCTGACCGTTAGTCTCTGGTTGACGGCCAAGTGGCATCAACAACTTAGAGCCATAGACTCCCATGAACTCCTGCCAGTTGTGACTAGTGAACCTGGTATCTCTGACACTAACTATCGACAGCGGTAGACCATGCTCACTGACCCAGTGATCAAAAAACTTATCTATAACTAAATCTGTACGTGCCTCTGAGGGTAAAGGAACAAAACCTGCATACTTACTAAATCTATCAACTATAACCATGACTTGGCTCTTGCCATGTCTACTCCTGACCCCAACATCCATAAAGTCAATGGACACATAATCTCCAGCTCCCGCGGGAATAGGCAATGGTCTGAGAAGACCAAGAGGGGCTCGCGTAATGGTCTTATTCCTCTGGCATACTTCACAACTGCGTACGTACTCTATGCAGCCAGCCTTCATGTCTGGCCATGCATATGCGCGAACGAGGTTGGCTAATGTCTTCTGTTAGCCAAAATGTCCCTCTGTATCATGGCATTCCCCTAAGATCACACTACATATCTCTTCATTGTTGGGAATGCAGAAGTGGTCAGCTACGTTAGTCTTCTCGAACAACAAGTCGTTTGTAGTGCGGTAATCCGGTTCAGTCTCTGGGGACTCCTTAACTCTTTTGAGGAGATGGGTATAAATTGGGTCCTGCACATACGCTTCCCTAACTTTCTGTTGCAGATCTCTCGCTATATCCAGATAGTGAACTGTCGCTCCAAAGTAATAAACTCTCCTACTTAGAGCGTCCGCAACTATATTATACTTCCCTTTAACTGGCTTGAGCTCGAAGTCAAATTGATTTATTTTTGCGGCCCACCTAGTAAGCTTAGGTGTCATCTTGGCCTGCGTCTTTAACCACCTCAGCGCCTCATGGTCCGAATAAACTTTGAAGTGCCTCCCAAGCAAGTAGTATTTCCAATGATCTAGCGCTTGCCTGAGAGCGTAGAGTTCCCTCTCGTAGGTAGATGTCGCTACCTTCTCTGAAGGCATCCTAGCAGACATGAACTCTACGGGGCTATACCCATTGCCATCATCTTGCTGTAAGACAACACCTATACCATACTGACTTGTGTTAGTGGTGACAACAAAAGGCAAGGACAGATCGGCTACCTTGAGGATTGGGTACTCTATCAAGGCCCGCTTTAGCTTCTTCAGGGCCGACGTACAGTCTCTATCCCACTCCCAGATTGCTTCTTTCTTTAGCAACCTGCAAAGAGGTGCAACAATGGTAGAAAAGTTCCTTACGAACTTCCTATAGTAATTTGCTAGGAACGACCGCAACTCTGTATATGTGCGGGGCGTTGGCCAATCTCTAATCGTCGCTATCTTACTGTCCTCAGGTTTTATGCCATCTCCATCTAAGACGTGGCCCAAGTACAGAACTTGTGTCTTGGCCCACTCGCACTTCTTCTTGTTGATCTTGAAATTAGCTTGTCTCAGCCTTTCCAAGACCTGCCTCAAATGACCCTCATGCTCCCGGATGGTCTTGCTAAAAACTAGAATATCGTCTAGATGTACAACTATGAATCTATCTAGCCACGGCCTAAACAAATCATTCATACAACGCTGGAATGTGGCTGGCGCATTGGTAAGTCCAAAGGGCATCACTATAAACTCGTAATGCCCGTATCTAGTCTTGAATGTTGTCTTGTACTGATCATCAAGATGTACCTCTATCTGATGATAGCCAGACTTCAAATCTATCTTAGAGAAGTACTTGCAGCCCTGCACCCAATCTAGCAGATCATCTATACGAGGCAGTGGTTCTGCATTTTTTACTGTGACGACATTGAGACCCCTATACTCAGCCCGTGTAGGTTTGGTCAATGTAGCTCTACGACCTCATGCACGGAGTTCCTATCACCTGGGCCGAAGAGACTCAATGCAGAAAGAAGAGACAGACAGACTCAGCAAATACCATGGGGTGAGTGCACGTCCATAGGGCGAGGGGATAGGTTGAAGGCTTGGCGAGAGTATACCAACTCTAGCTTGGTCAAATTCGTGGTCAACAGCTCTGGTCAACGCTGGTCAACGTCGGTCAACACACCGGTCAATGCCCTGGTCAACCCTGGTCAACACCTCGGTCCACCCTGGTCAACACCTTGGTCAACTCCTCCGTCAACCCCGGTTAACTCCCCGGTCAATGCCTTAGTCAACGCCTCGGTCAACGCTCAAATCGGCCATGGCTGCCGACCCCTTCTCTCCGACCAACCTTCGCTTCTCTTCTTCTCCCTCCTTCCTTCTTTCTTCCTTCTTTCTTACTTCACCCCGGGTATGGCTTCTCTCTCCTCTTCGTCTTTTCCTTTCTCTTCCTCGGCTACGGCTTCTCTCTTCTGTTCGTCTCTCCCTCCTCCTTCACTAGTTCTTCCTTGTCCTTCGTTTACTCCGTGTCCGAGCTCGGCGGCTATGGCCGCCACCTCCTTCCTCGGACCGCACAACCAATCTTGTCTCTCTCTCTCTCTCTCTCTCTCTCTCTCTCTCTCTCTCTCTCTCTCTCTCTCTCTCTCTCTCTCTCTCTCTNGGGCCCGACTGGAAGCTACTGGAAACTTCCCCAGCCAGGCCCAGGCAGACACACACAGGGGCTGCACTTTCCATAAAGGAAAGAGGCCAGCCCAGCCTGGGGCATTCTGGCCTCTTATACACATCTAGATGTGTATAAGAGAGTCTCTCTCTCTCTCTCTCTCTCTCTCTCTCTCTCTCTCTCTCTCTCTCTCTCTCTCTCTCTCTCTCTCT